GAAACACGGGCGCATGAAAAATGATCAAGCGTAGGGTGACCCCTAATGGATCGATCTTGAACACATACTTTCATACAGGAAATGATGGTGCTGGAGCACATATTTATCGTGGAATATACTGCACACGACTTGTCGATGATGGGGTGGAACAGATCATGTCTCTGTGCTGTCTTGCACCACGTATGTAGGTTATGGGTGGTAGACTCCATGATGCCCTACATACACTGCCGTTCCGCTGAGAGACCCGCGTGCGCGTTTGAAATTGTAGATATTCTTGTCGCTTGTTTCTCGGGCACGTCGCCGGCAGCACGGTCACAAATGGATACAAAGGTGAAGACTAGTCAATAAAGCTGTACCAGCTGTTGTGTGCGTAGATGTGATGTGCACTTCATGCAACAACACAAACATACGGACACCGCCACGAGGCAACGGCCGGGGATTTCGTGAGCTACCGTGATACAATATCACAGCAGTCAGGTCGCACTCCGTAAACCTCATGCGAGCACCCCGTCAACTCGTGGAAGTTTTTGCCTGTATCTCTCCCTATAGCCCCCCTGCTGCTGCAGAGCGTCGCCGTGGTGTTATGGTATTTGGAGGTAGTCTAGACATGTGAGCGTGCTTGACCACATGGATATTTGGCGTTATTTGATGTAATGACTTGGTATCATGCAAGTTTCGGGCTTTTTGCCGAGGCATGTGCGCTTCTGTTCAGTGTGCGTGCGATCGGGTTTGTTGGATAAACCGGGTAGGCCAAAGCTTGTAGGTTTGTGGAGAAAGGCAGCTCGGCCAGTGNATGCCCCATATTCAACCACATTACTATGCTACGAGTATATCTAACAGCCCCCCTGCTCGTATGCATCGTAATGATCCGGCAAATCATCACAATTCCATTTACGACCAAAACGTGGATCCTACTCCTCCATGACAAACAAATAACCAAGAATGAATTCGACTATGCTAGTGTTCCTGAACCCACAACGTCTTGTCCCATCGTCTTCATTTCTTTGCAAAACGCTCCTCTGGTCCATCCTTTCTCAGCACTTCGCCGCAACGACACCCGCAAAGTCTTATGTCCCTCGCACAACTGAAAGCCTTAAACAATCCATCGAGTCAAACCTGTCTGTGGAACTCCTCTTCATTTTCTTTCCAATACACGGATCAATTCGTAGAAAATCGCCTCCTCCGTTGTGCATCCGACTACGTTCATCCGAGTACGAATCCTACCAAAAATACACAAACTTTCGAACACAAACCAAAGTATACGTTTCATGCCCACTTCGCAGGTAAAACGCTTCTGGGCATGGTACCAATCCTCTCCTCTCACACTTCCGATCAAATAACATCCATCCCCAAACATTCGTTCAGCGTTGAGATCATTTGAGCAGAACATACGAGAGCGAGTATTTTCCTTACTGTTTCTCCCTAGAAACTTAGCACCAGCTACTACAGTGAATTCCTTCCGAAAGAACAACGTGCCCCCCTGCTCTGGGAGATCCGCCCCCCTGAATTTGGGTTGGAGTCAGAACCATAGAACAAAAGAACAACATTCAAAATTCATCCAGTCGAAACTCAAGAAAAAACAATGTTTATGCAAATCCGAAAAGCTAATACCAAAACCAAATCAAAATCCATTACCCAACAGTTCAAGTCCGAAAGTCCAAACCAAATCAAATACTTAAGCCAAAATCCAATACCAAAACAAAACAATACTCGAAACCCCTACATTTGCCGGCGCATCATCAAGCTCCAGCGCTTAATAACCCATTGCCCAAGCCATTGTTAACCCCCCCCGCGGATAGTTCGCACGCTNGTTCTAACCATAGGGTAATCAATCCTAAGTCAAAACCTTAACAACTTTTGGAACCGCAATCTCACAACAAATAGCAATATCAATNAAACGGAGGTTGATTAGTCCTCTGTTGCAAAATAGTAATAAAGCTGCTGCGTCTGTGCTAACCATAGGGTAATCAATCCTACGTCAAAACCTTAACAACTTTTGGAACCGCAATCTCACAACAAATAGCAATATCAATACAACGTACAACAATATTAGGAAATCAGCATTTATTTCGTCAATATTGTGGATTTTTAATCTGCAACAAGGTGGAGGTACCAATGTTGCACTTCGTTGAGACTTGACACGTCTCCGGCACTCGCTGACACGACCAAGACATGAAAAGTTTTTGATCAGGTTAAACCTGCTACCCAAAAAGAGTCCAGATAAAACGTTGATCACGCATTTTTGATCAGGCTAAACCTGCTGCTCAAAAAGTAGCTACCAAAGAGAGCCCAGATAAAATGTTGATCACGCTGTTACCGGCTAGAGAAAGTTAGTCTCAGCACGGCTGTCAGGAAGACGAACAAAACCTCGCCAATCACTGCATTACATTACGCACAATACTATTTCAAATACCATGCTACACGCACAAACAATATCATCAGTTTAGAAACTGGCATCAGTTTTTGAGGATTAGTCTACTGGTAACCTGGATTTTGTGTCTACCCATTTGCTACAGGTAGTCGGTCTTTGACCGAGCGGTGGAGTTTGACGGCAGTACCGCACGACGTGTTGTCGCGTTTTGATTGAGTAAGTGTTGGTGTTCGACGGCTTTACCGTACAGCGTGTTGCCGCGATTACTAGAGAATGAGTGGGAGAGAGAGTTTGACGGCAGTGCCGGGTGGAGGTGGAGTTGGAGTAAGTGTTGGTGTTCGACGGTAGTACCGCACGGCGTACTGCCGCGTTTAGGATCTGAAGGCACGATGCAGGCGTACCGCATCACCGCATGGGTGTACACACATCGACAGCAGTCCAAAACTGACAAGTCATCACGTGCCTGTTCATGCCTACAACCCCAATAGATGGCGGGGTACAGCTGACGATGGCGCTGCTGTAGGTCTTGGGGTTGCTGCTGCTGTGAAGGCCCTCGCCGTTGGTGGCCTCTTCGTCTTGTTAGTCTAATGGTGTAACTTTATCTTACAGGGTTGATCGTGTGCGTTCGGGCGGTTTGTCGGTACTTGTCGATATTTCTCTTTCTGGTGATATAAACCCTCTTGGGGCTTTTGTGTTTCATGTGGAGCAGGGTCCGGTGCGGGTCAAATCGAGGCGCTTGTTCTGGGTACCTGTGATGTGTGTGGCACGGACGACCCTACATTGAGTTGGCGGGGGGGTTCTAATAGTTCGGTTCGAACTGAATAGTAAGGTGTTGATTTGGCTCGCCGTATCAAGTAGGCGGTACTTGAACTTTCTGCCTCTTGTCGGAGCCTTGGCCGCCTGATGATGAGCTACGTCACACAGAAGAGCACCAGTGCGCTGGTCACAACGGATCGGGCTGCTACGCTACGTATGGTGTTGAGGTTGGATGGGGATTGGTAGGAGTAAGATCGTCATGGTCTCCTCACAGGCAAGCATGTAAGTTTAGCTCAAGCAAACCTCCAAGGTAGACTGCTGTGCTGACCTGCTGTAGAGGTTTCGTGATATAACACTTGGCCTGAGGTCACCCGTTAAACTTGGTTGCAAGATTCATCATCGCGCCAAGATTTCCCTCGTTTGTCTAATGGGAAGTACTTTCTGAACGCATGCAGGTTTTCGCATCTACGTACTGGAGCTGTGATGAGACTTGAGACGGGGAACCATTTGGAATCTATCTCGTGTTCCATGTCAGAGAAAACCACGCCGCTGCACACCAAGGACACGATCCCTGAACACACTTTTTGCAGCAACCGTTGTCTCTAATAGTTCACCATGGGTTGTTGCCAATCAGGAGCGAGAGGCCTGCCGTAGACGTTGTGCATGCCTTCTAGCAAGTGCGTGGGAGAGGGGCAGCAAGCAACGTCTTTCACGAACGAGGTCATTTTATGAATTACTGAACGAGAGGATAATGTCATCAGAACCTTCACGCCAGGCCGAACTGTGGTTGTGTTCTTCATCAAGCACAGGCTCGGTCTGTGGTGGGGCTGTTCATTCCCCAAGCATCCGGCACCATGCATGCTACCCGGCATGTTCGAGTACAGAAGGGCAGGCAGGAGCGGGACATGGTTTCATCTTGGGGGCCTTTGAATGGCACGACTCCACAGCGTCCCGTTCACGCTCCAACAGCATGTGACGCGGATGCCACGATATCAGGTATATTAATAACAGGATTTTCGTAAGGATGTTTCGTGCACTGCGAGTTGGACAGGTCGTGGTCTCCACTTGCGTGCAGCGGTAGGAGCAGGTTAGCGTGTCCAATTCTGTCAGATGATCCCACCTTCTGGTTGGAAGGCAGTATTGCTGCCATACATCCACGCGTACCGGTATTTAACCTCCGTCGAGGCTCTTACGGTCTCTTGAAGATTCCGAACGATTTCGTGGTAAAGATAGTTGTCAATATCCCAGCATTAAGACAGGAACCCGCGAGTTTTGAAAGGACAAGCCTCCCTGGCCCTGCACTAAGAGAGCTCTCAATCCCGAAGGGGGGCCCCTCAGACGAGGTTGTTCTGCCCTGAAGGAGATCTCAATACATCCAAACCGTACAATCGATGATCCACTCCCAGGAATGCATTCGCCTCAGAGGTACGATGCTGCCTTGCGCTGGTTCGGTTAGGTGTAAGCCGTCGAAGAAATGTGCGCATCAGGGAGAAACATGTCTCTTCACTCGCAATTGACCAGTATAGTTTTGAATTTTCTCATGTATCATTTCGGTGGTACTCATTCCTCGAAAATGGGTGAGGGTTCTACAGCGCTCTGCACAACGTTGCCCTGATATGTACAGTTGGCTTTCATCGCGTATCGGATGTCACAACAGAGGGTCGAGAAGTGACCCACGGCGCGTTCGTTCGTTTTATTTGCAGCTGATACAGTGCTAGACTTTAAATGATAGACGCAAGAGCGCCAGGGTCGGTCTACACGAAGAGACGATTGCAAAAAGAATTTTTTCTAAGCTCGCAAAGACGCTGCCGCATCATATACTAAACAAGATATTTGGTCCTGTTCGCGATTGCGTGCTTTTGCTTTCGCTGGCATGTTTTCAGGGCAAAGGCGTTGCCTTGAGGCTCTGGCCGTCGCCATCAGAAACACCTCCGACAAAGGAGTTTGGTTCGCTTCAACGAGGACCTTGAAAACGGTTTGCCTGGACATTTACTTGTCTTGCCGGAATCGAGCCACTGCTCGGGCGTGCCACGTGGAGGTCACCGTCGACACACCGCGCCGCTTATGGCTGCGTGGAGAGGAAGACGCTCTTTCGCTGAACAGCAACGGTCCGCCTTCTCGCATTCCGCCGCCCGCAGTGCGCGTAGTATCGCTTGAAGAGTACCCTGCGCAGGTTCTAGCTCGTGCACCAAAGGAAGAGAGGCCAACTACAACGCTCGATGCGAGTGGGCTGCCGGCGGACGTCGGCCAGGTGGCGTTGGATGAGCCGAAGCAGAGCCGAGAGTGGTGGCCAGATTCCGTGGAGGAGCTGAGGTTCGGGAGTCGATTCAACCATCCACTTGATTCTTCTATCGAATGGCCCGCCTTGGTCACGCACCTCTCGTTTGACCACCACTTCGATCAGGTCATCGACGAAGTTTGTTGGCCGCCTCGGTTGCAGGAGCTCACCTTTCGGCATGCTTTCAGACGACCGTTGACCAGGGTTGTGTGGCCTTCGTCTCTCCGGAGGCTGAGCTTGGTCGGCTTCTACAACCAGCCGATAGCGGAGGTCGAGTGGCCATCCTCCTTGGAGGAGCTACGGTTCGGGGAAAGGTTCAACCACCAGATTCAGAGCGTTGCTTGGCCGGCGTATCTGGTACGACTGAGCTTTGCGGGCTTGTTCGACCAACCAATCCATGAGGTATATTTCCCCGAGTCGCTGCGAGAGCTGAGGTTAGGGCACATGTTCAACCAGGCCATAGACGAAGTTCGTTGGCCTCCTCGGTTACAGAAGCTGACCTTGAGCGAGAAGTTCAACGGAGAGATCGGCGGCGTGACTTTCCCCGATTCGCTACAGGAGCTCCACTTCGGGTTTTACTTCAACCAACCCCTGAAAAAAGTCAAGCTGCCGGAGTGCCTGGAGACATTGAGGTTTGGCAACAACTTCAACCAGTCGCTAGCCGAAGTGTCTTGGCCGCACGCGCTACGGGACCTAAGCTTTGGGCACAAATTCAACCAAGTCATCGAAGAAGTTCGTTGGCCGCCCTCGCTGCAGGACCTAGCGTTTGGTTTGTCCTTTAACCAGCCTATTGGCAAGATCGAGTGGCCATCCTCGTTGAGGTCGCTGAGGTTCGGACAATCCTTCAACCATCCGGTAGCAGAAATAGCGTGGCCATCTTGTTGAAGCGGTTGGAGTTGGGAATGTTCTATCGCCATCAAATTGAGAGTGACGTGTGGCCTTGTTCCTTGACAGAGTTGGTGTGGGGAGGGGCGACCCACCGTGTTGTGAACGGTCTTGTTATCAGATAGCACGTGCAGCCAGCAACGGCCGTCGGAAACTTCAACCCAGCGGCTTGGTTGGCAGATTTACCCGTTATGACGAAGAGAGGCTCAAGTTCGAGTAACGAAATGCAACTCCTTCGGATGCACCATGGTAGTTGACCCGAGCGTGATTGAAGTCTAGGAGTTTCTGGTGTGTGGGTGTGGTGTTAAACGAGCAAGCACTGATGAATGTAGATCGTTCGGACGGTCTTTTTTTAAGCATGTACCTATCTGCTCAATCTTGTTACGTAGAATAGTTGTGTTTCCACGGAACGTGCCATGCCTTGACATGCACCCTGCCATGCGCAAGGGAGATGCCTTGACTCTTTGGGGAAAAATACACGAATTTGTATGCATACATGTTGCCCCGGTGGTCTAGTGGGTAGCCTCGCAGCCTGCCAAGGGCCATGTCAGGGGGTCGAGTCCCGCCAGTGTGAATTTTTTTCTCGCCAACTAAATCCTGGTCTCCGTTGGAAGCGACGCGCTGCAAAGCTCGTTGTTGGTAAACTTGATCGACTTCACAAGTCGCGAGGGAAGGGATTGCTGTATCCTTCTCGCGATGAAAATATTTCAGGCAGGAACCGCAGGAAGGGGTCCAACCTCCCCCTCCCATGTGACCCCGGTTGGGTCGTATTTCTAGTAGAAGTGGAGGATAGAGGCCAGAGGGGCAGACGACAAAGTCCAATGATGGGAGACCAAAAAAAAATAAATGTATCGAACAATGCTGGGGTCCGCGCGTGGCCTTTCCGTCATTTTCGTGAAGACTTATGGTCAAAGGGTTGATGGCGATCCCACACAAGGCGTGTGCACCGGGGTGTTTCCCCCCCAATGCATATTGCAATTGTGGACTAGGCGCGAAATCGGTCGTCATCGCTCGAGAGACGAGCCGTTCCCGGGCTTCAGCACAAAAATGAGAGACACCGCCGTCGCTGGCAAACTTTGATTTGAACAATGACCGGTCTAGCCACTGGAGTCTGTAGAAAGGACCAATAGAGAAGGAACGTTGGTCCGTACGTCAAACCACACAAGAATGTGAGGTTCAATCTACCATGCAGTTACGAGAACTTCTAAATAGTGATGTCATTTAGAACCGGATTAGGCCATCATGTACGTCAATTGGTTCAACAACGGCAGGAAGCAACCCAAACCTCAAGCGTCAAGAGGTTTTACTCCTCTCCTCCACAAAGCATACGTTCGTTTCTTTGTGAATCATCGTCACTCTCTCAACAACCGTTGCAGACGTCGCCAAACCAGCCCCTAAAAGCGAACCCCACAATACGACCTACACACGCCGGAGCTCCGTACCTCCAGGAGCAGTACGAACACTACCAGTTGGCGCGTGTGACCATGTATCCCATGAACGTAGAACATTGTTTTCACGAAGGTCATAGAGGTGGAAGGCAGGCCCGCCCGCAATGCCACGGGCTCGAACTGAGCGGCCGCGTCGACTATCTCGGTGAGCCTGACACACGCAAACTATTATGCGCGTCGGTGCAGAATGCATCGCACACGTCAGGCTACATTGGTAATAATCAATCCGGATGACCCGTGACCAACATGCCCGCGCACCCAGCAGGGACACCCGTTTGCCAAAGCCCGTTCTTCTTCAGGGACAGCGAACGTCCAGCACATCAATCGGAGATCGAACGGGATATGGCGAGGATTCGTTGTTCTACTCACAAGCGAGCACGCCGTTGTATTCCCGAAGGCGTCATGCTATAAACGTCCTTGCCGAACACCCAATGCTTATTCCTCGTGGCTAAGACTTGCGCAATGCCTTTCAGCCTTAGTGCCTGGTCCCTCGCTTCGACGACGGTCATCAGTACGCGGCAATCTCTTCACCAACATCACTTGTCAACGCACGCGGTGAAGTTTGCTATGTACTGCCGAATACGTCCCAACGCCTCCGCCAACATACCATTGGCGATCGTCACCATGGGTCACAGCAGTCAGATCACCACCAAACAGGTAAGTCTTCGACCTACTAGAATCGCGCCGCCTTCACGGACGGAGAAAGCAGAACACAAGAGAAGCCGTGTACCACACTGCAAAGAATACCACTTTGGTCGCTCGCTCGACGGATGTGTTGAGCAAATGTTTCACGGCATGCCCTGTAGTGTTGCTTGATGGCCTTACACTATGCTGTGCTTTGCTGCAGACGAGAGGACCCCACCTGCCGAAGAAGTGCCAGCCAATAGCGCAGAAAAGTGGCAACAAGGTGCGAGACGTCGAACGATGGCGAGCTCGGTAACGAAGGGCCGTCGTTTGGAGGACTCAAAAGGCATGGGGTCGGAACGAGTTGTAAACCAATCGATGCCCTTCTGGTGCAGCGAGGGAAACTTTCGGCTTCAGCTACACGGTATCCTTCAAGAACGCGGTCGCGCGTGTGTAAGCCCATGACCCGATAGTTGTGGCAATAACGGACTAGGGGACCAATACCTTGCGGGCTTGCGCTCTCTCCGGTCCGACCCGGCGAGATACAGTAGGCACTCGTTGGGGACAACGCGAGACCCCAAACATACTTAAAGCTAGAGAGAGAGAACAGCAACACACAACAAGGAAGAACGTTTCTTGTTGCGTGAAGGACGACAGCATCTGTTGTAAGGCGCCCAACCTGGCTGAAGGGCTCAAGGATGCAACGCATACTTCAATAACCTGGGAACTCGTACAAAGCCGGCGCCTACATAGAACACAAGAGAAATAAAGACGACACACAACACACAACATGACTTACGAGGGTCGGCGGCAAACCAGTAGTCGTCCTTCACCAAACACTGTCCTGCCTGAGCAGGAGGGTAGAGTGGTGGTGACGTCGACACGCACACGTTGGTTCGACTTCTTCTAACGCGTGTCGTCTACTTGTACAGCTCCCTCTCTCCGGGCCAGGAAGGCAAGTTGCCACGCCAACATACAGAACCGCAGGAGGGGGTCCAACCCCCCCCTCCTATGTGATCCCGGTTGGGTCGTCTAGCTGGTAGAAGTGGAGGATAGGGGCCAGAGGGGCAGACGACAGAGTCCAATGATGAGAGACAAAAGAAAAAAAAAAAAAAACAGCCAGAGGCGAGGGCTAACGTCACGCTTTGTGCACCCACATCTCCACCGGCTCTCCTTTGGCAGAGGAGGTCTGGCGTACTGCCGTGGCGCTCATTCAGACCCGATTCCCACTCCCCGAGCTCCCAGGCTGTTGGAGAGACAACCCCCCGCGACACATGTAACCAACAAAGAGATAAATGCAACCAACAAAGATGCGGAGGTCGCCAATATGTACCAGTATCGCCTCATTCGGGAGCGCTGGTAAAAATATCAGGATGCTCTTGCCCGAAGACCACCAGGCCTTCATGGGATCCATGGCCCGACGTCGTGTGCATCGCCACCAGCCTCTGGGCGTGCTGGCGGACAGTTCGCGATATTGCTGTCCCTCTGCCGACCCAAAATCAGAACGCTGCTGTGCATACCAACCTTTTGATCTCTTGGTGAGAGCCACCTCTACGTTGAGGACATCGACCGACCACTCAGCCCTTCCTTGTCTTGCCGTGAGCAGAATTCTTCCATTGTTATACCTGCTTTCTCGCCACTTGGGTGGCAGTTCTGGTGTCCGTCGCACCTCTTTGTCGCCTGCAGAAGCCACCACCTTTCTTGCCTCTCTGTCAGCAGTGCTCTGCTCAGAACTCTGCCTTTTGAACTCCTGCAGCAATCGCCGTGCGAGGCTCGCTCCACGTAGCCCTGCTGCTCGCACCTCATATTGTCGGCACTGACACGCCGAGTATTCCCTCCTAGACACATTTCACCGCACAACGGCATCGCGGCGCGGGCTTGGTGGCACAGCAGGCCCTTCTGTTTCAAGATTAAACTGGTGTCCGTTGCCGCTGGGCGCTTGGGCAATACACTCCGCAGGCGCTGTCTGGCAAGCCATGTACCGGCTTCTGGATCCATTCAGCCTTCAAAGCAGCTCCTTCGCTAGAAGTTTTTCACGCGGGCTGCGGCTGCAGAGGAAACCACCAGCCATTCGGGGAGCAGAGAGAGAAGTGGGGCGAGAGGCCTCGGGCCAGACAGTGTAAATTTCGTTTTTGCAATTCTCCATTTTCTCGAGGGGGACCGCGGATTGGAATGTTTTATTACCCCGCACTACCGGGGGAGTTGGGAGCTGGGAGACGCGCACACCCGGCACACAGCTAGCTACGCAGGAGCAGGGGGAGAGAGAGGAAGAGAGTCATGGCGACTTTCGGGACTTCGGAGTCCAAGCGCTTGCGATTTGTGGTCAAGGCAAGTGCCACATGAAGACACGACATCCGTATGAACCGTTGTTTTGAATGCCGAAAACCAAGCTTTTCCGCTGGTCCCGGTTTGACACAGGTCTCCATCTCCCAAGGGGCAAGATCTCAGCAGTGCCTGCATGGCCAGCGGCTCCCGAGCTCGGCCATCACCTCCACCGTATTTTCCGTAACATGTTGCACCTTCTGAATCTCTTGAGTCCTGTAATTCTGGAAGCAGGGAGCGTATGGGGGCACCAAGTCACTAGCCATGTGGACTCTGTCCGCTAGCAATCCCACCGCTGGCGGCCACCCATTACTTTGGTTTGGGGGCTGTCTCTCACGCCTGCACGCTCCCCCGTGCATCACGTAGCACAACACAACACAACTCCCGTTGTCCGTCCTGTTTATCTATGGGGCAGGGCTGCTGGTGGGCAGCCTCGATTCTGCTGCATGCTGTAAGTTGATGGAGGCTAAAGTCCACACGAACACACCCACTGGAACTTTACGGGACTGTCAGATTCTGTGATGCCATCGTGCCATCATCCTCGTACTACAGCAGTATATTTGTACCGCAGTCTTACGTGTATGGTGTACAATAGCAGGTTACCTGTATACTTCTTTTTCGTTGTGTGTCCAGTAACTGCGGTATTATCTGGGTGCAAATGTTCGCAACGTACATCTGGAGACGAAACCCTCGTATCATAGTGCCCGACATTCAGTTCTCTTCATCTACAGAAGTGGTACAGATTTTTTTCGCGCGAAAAGACAAAGTCAACGTCAACTCGGCGCACGCACGCAGCTTTCACTATGCCGCTTCTGTACCGCCTGTTCTTGCTGTGTTGAGCCCTGGAACGCTAGCGACGATTGTGCGTCCTTTTCTTATCGAGCTGCCGCTGTGTTATTAACGATACCAGCATGACCAGTCGCCGGGTGGCATTGCGATATTCGTACCGTAGGTCTGCCTGGGTGGCGGCGGGTACCCTCACCCCTGCCACCAGTCAAGATCGTTCGTGACACGTTGGGTAGATATATGCACACATGTATACGGCGTCCGGAAGTGACGGTTAAGCAGTGCGGCAGTACAGGTAGATCAAATGAACAAAAACGTAACAAACAAAACAACACATTCCACGCATGTATACACAATCGTGATGAAACATGTCCGCGTTGAGCATACAGCAATCTCTTTATGTGTTCATACATCGACCCACATTCGACCAACAAGTCGAATTGGACGATCCCTTTCTCGCACCTCTGGTGTACTGCAGAACCAGTTCGAGGACGCCAGCGACGACGATGATGACGACACGACAACGACCGCCGCTGCCGCTGCCAGCACCACCGGGGAGGGGTCCAGCAGGACGCAGGTGCCGGCCAAGGCCAAGAACAACAACAACAGGAGCAAGGGCAACAAGAAAAGCGGTGCCGACAGGGCGGCAGCGTCGCTGTTCTTCAGCGACAGCACCGCTCCTCGCCACAGGTGATTGGCCACGCCGCATGTGGTTGTAGTTGCTGCCGTTGATGTCTTCCTTGAGGGAATAACCACACGCTAGCTGAGAGTGAATGGTTCTGGCTGGAGGGTTTCGACAGCTGTTTTTCAACAAGATAGTTTTGGACAACTATTTTTCAGCACACACGAACGCGGGCTGTTTTTCAAGGCCGACGTGCCATGACCCCAGATCCAACCGGATGCTTCACTCCAAGCGCCCTAGCAGAAGAGTGCCATCACCAACTGTGATGCCAATACAGTTTGTTGGTTGGAACCCACACGCAGGCATCGCGTGCTGCGATTACCACTTTCTCATGACATGCGTGCTTGTTCTTGTTCGGTCGCGGTGGGTCTCCACTGTTGTTGTTGCCAGCGGCGAACGCTTGTCGGCGGCGGACGGGTTGGACTCCGCTGAGTGGGAAGAGGCGGTTTGGTCTGGAAGCGATGGCGGCGACGAACTGGACCAGCTGGAGGTGTGTCAGTTGTTGTTATATCGGTTGTTGTGGTTGTTTTCGTGGTGAAGGTGGTGGATGTGGTGCTTGTTGTCATCCTTGTTGTTACATTGGCGATGGCCGTTGTCGCCGCTCTTTTTCATTGGTGGTGGCTGTAGTTGTCGTCGCTGTTGTTCTTGTTCTTGTTTCGTGCACGTTGTCACCCGTTCTGTTCCTTTCCAGCAGTGTTGTCGTCTCGCGGTTTCCAACCAACCTTTTCTCGAAATACAAGGTGTTTAGCCGTGAGGGTGGGTTGTCTTGTATTGTATTGTCATGTCTTGTCACCGCAATGTTCCATCGAAAAGTGGAAATCGAAATGCCACTGGTCTATCACTGATTGGACAGCGGACCCCTGTTCCGCCGCCGGATGTTCGACATGGAGGATTGTGGTCGAAAGCTAAGCGATTGATGGAAAAATCAATAAGAGAATCTGAATAGATCGAAATCTCAAATCGAAAGCGTGAACAGGAACATGAAGTTGTTGCTTACCCAGCTTGTTACCAGACTCCCTGCAAGTCGGAAATGCCTTCATTTCGCTACTCATCCTAACCACCTACAGACTGCTTGGCGATGCAAGAGATACCTTTGCAGAAAGCTGACATCCAGCAGAGCACGGCATACTTCTTTGAGCAAGACCTGCTCGAAATTGGGAGAGAAAGAGTCATCGCCGTGAAATTATTTATTTGCCAACCGCGTCATTTTCGGCTTTCCTGCATCAGACCGAAGTATTCAGTCACACATTGGTCGCTGAGTTCCTAGCGTATCGGTGCGAGATCAAGATTTGCCAACCCGCCTGATCACCGCTAGCTGTGTGGGATGCCCTGTGGCTCTTACGGTCGGGTGCTTTGAGGCATTTTTCGTGTCACCCGTGTTGTTTTCCACTTTCGATTTTGATTCATCACCATGGGTGTCCGAGTAGAGCCAACCCGAAAACGAATTTCTTTCAGATCTGGAAATCTCTGGTGACAAGACCCACCCTGAAAACCGCAACTGCAGAAGTGCATGCGTCTATTGTGGTAGCATCTCACGAGAACTTTCCCTTCGCTCTCGTCCTCCATTGCTGTATCCCCAATAAATGTGTTGGTTTCCAGACTACGTTGCTTGGGGAGGTTGGCGGCGCGGGAGCCGCAGGCAGTCGGGGTGGAGAAGCCCTGAGAAGCAGGTTCGAAAGCAAGCTCAACACAGCCTCCCGCGATGGGGGCGGGGGAGGGGAAGGAGGGGGTCCTCAGTCCCAGTCTGTCCGTAACGACATCAAGAGGAGCGAGAAGTCGGGGGAGAAGACTTCGCGGCATACTGGGAGGGACGACCGTGCCACAGTCGAGCAGGTGAAGAGTGGACAGAGCTTTTCTACTACAGAAAAAATAGGTGTTGCTGTTTGAAGTTTTGGGGGATGCGCATCGCATTGGATGACCGCGCCATTCCGTATGGTGCGATTCGACAGTTTCGTTTACCCAGGTACTGTACCGTGGCTCCGTAGGTTGGCCGTATCCCTCTGAGGGTGAGGTGCTACAAGCGGTTTCGATTCGACGCCCCCGCGATATCACATGCCATCCATGAGTTGCCTCCCTCCTCTGCCTTGACGTTTCCCCCATGAGGTGGCGGCATGCTCTACGAGATGCTTGAGATTGTTGGCAACTTCCTCTCCCCCTGTGTCCCCCCCCCCCCGTCCCTCCCTCTCTCTCTCTCGGTCTGCTTCTACTTGGCGTGGCTTTTTTTTCTTTTTTTCTCTGTCATGTACTTGTAGGTTATGGATCCGCGTACCCGGATGATCCTCTTCAAGCTGCTGAACCATGGGTTCTTCAGGCAGATCGACGGCTGCCTTAGCACGGGAAAGGAGGCAAACGTTTACTACGCCGTCGGCGGAGAGGTCAGATCTCCGAGATCTCCGAAATGACCCGGCTCGTTCCATAGGTTTTGATGGAAAACTTGATGGAACCAACATTTGTATGAACCTTAATTGCGGAAGTCAACGTTTTCGATTGGCAGGCACAACTTGGTAGACTGCGTGGTGTGGCAGGGTTGGAGTGACGCCTTATCTCTGCCTATCCCGGCGCTTTTCGGCTTGGGAGACTGCTGTAGTCACGTCGTTTGCGCGGTCTCAGTACGGGAAGGTACCGATACACTGCCCGTTGCCGTCGGCGGTTCTGCTCACCCCTTCTGCTGCGCACCTCGTTTCACGTGTTTCCAGGGCAAGGAGTACGCGATCAAGGTGTACAAGACGTCCATCTTGGTGTTCAAGGACAGGGACAAATACGTGTCCGGGGAGTACCGTTACAGGCACGGCTACTGCCGCTCCAACCCGCGGAAGATGGTGAAGGTGCGTTCGGTGTGCGGTGTCCCGCGTCCCGTGTACAGTGTATCTTGGTCTCCAAGGGTAGAGACAAGTACGTGTGCGGAGAGTACCGCTACAGGCACGGTTGCTGCCGCTCCAAGCCGCGGAAGATGGTGAAGGTACGCCCCGTGCACCATGTCCCATGTACTGTGCTCCGTGTCATGCGTGTGTTGGGTCGACGGATGAGGAATGGTTCGTTGGTCACGTTACTGGGAGACTATACTGGTGTGTCCTTGCGTTGCCATGGTGTCTGGTTCCTTAGGTGAAAAATGTTTTTTGTGTTGAAAATGTTTTTTGACAATATTTTTTCAATAGAAAATGCTACCGTTTAGAATCGACTCATTGTCTGCTGTGCAAGGTTTGCGTTGAACAATGCAAGGTCCACGTTGAACAATGGGAGCCGCAGGCCTATCTACTTTACAGGCAAACTGGCCTCAAGCCGGCCTTTTCAAGGGTTTAGTAGGATGCCACGCA